GAGAATGGATGGATGGATGGATGCATAAATAGGTGGATGGATGGAGGGATGGATGGATGGATGGATGGATTAATAAATGGATGGATGGATGAGTGAATGCATAAATGGATGAATAAATGGATGGATGGATGGATGTATGGATGGGTGGATGGATGGATGGATGGATGGACAGATTGATGAGAGAGATGATAGAGACAAGGGTATATAGATCAAAAGATGAAATGGATGATGAATAGATGGATGGATGGATGGATGGGTGGTGGATGTGTAGATGGAAACATATATGAGGTAAGTAATAGACACAGACAAGAGTAGGTAGACCAGTAAATGGAGTGGATGATGGATGGATGAATGGGTGGGTGGATGGTTGTATAGATGGACAGAAGGAAAGCTACATGAGATAAGTAATAAAAACAGACCAGAATAAATAGATCAATAGATGAAATGGATGTATGGATGGATGGATGTATAGACAGATGGAAAGATAGATGACAAGAATAGATAGATCAGTTGATGAAATGGGTGGATGAATGGCTGCATAGATGGGTGGATGGATGGATGGATGGATGGATGGACGGACGGACGGACGGACAGATGGAAAGACACATGGGATCAGTAATAGAGACAGACGAGAGTTGAACAGTAGATGGAGTGGATGGTGGCTGGATGGATGGATGAGACCGGCAGATGGAACAGATGGCCGATAACAGAGGCAGTTACACACACGGAGCCTACAGAGCCACAGACACACACCATGCTATTGCTAAGCATTTTCATTTTCACTTTTTAATACTAAAACTGCACCCTCATTGGCCCCCGTCGATACTCCCATATCGATTTTATCCCCTGGAGACGGACGGTGCCTTCTCCCCTTTCCCGTGACACGCGTGTGTCCAGAGGACGGCCGTCAGATGAATCCTAGAAAATCTCATTGTGAAAAATGAACATTCTCATTCCTGACACGCGTTGTCGTAAAACCATCATCTGTGTGCGTGTGTGCGTGTGTGTGTGTGTGCGCGCGCGAGGCCCTCATTAATTTAGTGGCATAATTAACATTTTATAAGAACTGTTCATAGGTACTTAAAATAATGGCTGAGTGATGAGTATGATTTCATATTGCCTTGGGGCGATTTTATTTTTATTTTTTTTTGGAAAGGATTCATTTCCACTGTTAACATTCAGGGAACAAAAACAAGTCAGTTCCAAGACTTTAATTTCAAGGAAGCCTGTTTTAAAAAACAAAACAAAACATCGATCTCAAAAAAAAACACGTTGGATTGGCTGCCTCCTGCACGCCCCCTACTGGGGAGGGAGCCCGCAACCCGGGCCTGTGCCCTTGATTGGAATCGAACCCGGGACCCTTCAGTCTGCAGGCCGATGCTCTATCCCCTGAGCCACACCAGCGAGGGCTAAATACGTTAGGTTTTTGTCTTTTGTTTTCTTTTAGTTCTTTGTTTTGTTTTAGTTCTGCCCCCACCCCCTTCCCCCAGCCAGTAAATTACTTCTTGTTTTCTGGTAGAGCGAGTTAATACCCTAGTGTTTGTGGAAAAGGAAGCAAAAAAATAAAAATCTATAGGGTACCAGGAAATAGGACGTTGGCTAATAAACAGCCCCACCGGTGTGGCTCCGTGGCTGAGCGCCGACCTGTGAACCAGGAGGTCCCGGGTTCGATTCCCGGTCAAGGGCACATGCCCGGGTTGCAGGCTCCATCCCCAGTGTGGGGGGCGTGCAGGAGGCAGCCGGTGCATGATTCTCTCTCCTCATCGATGCTTCTCTCTCTCTCTCTCTCTCTCTCTCTCTCCCTCCCGCTCTGAAATCAACACCAAATGTATTTTAAAAAAATAAACCAATAGAAAACAGGCAGGCAGATCCTCCTCTTGCGTATGTGGGAAGCAGAGCCTGGTGTCTCCGGGGCCTAATCCCATCCCCCCCTCCCCCGTTCGTGTCCTCAGGGAAGTGGCACCTGGGCATCCACTGCCACAACAACTCCGACTTCTGC